AACACAGAGATTCCATGGGGTTGTAGAGCTGAAGAAGATACAAACATAGAGAGGTGAGGAGACAATAGTGATTTAAGCACTTGACATAACTGAAAAAGTAAGGTCGCCATAGTCTTACCAGACTATGGGGCTGTTCTCCCAGTAGAGAGAGACAACTGGTGCAGGGTAACGATGCCTCAGGCAGGAGGAGGTTGAGAAGGAGAATCCTTCATGGTAACCTCAGTCGGTACGGATATTGAACCCACATAATTGGTATCACTCTGCATCACAAACTAGGCATTCAGCCAGCTGAGCTAACTGATCCCTGACTGAATAGATATTTGTTAAGAAGGCTTCATAATTAATCATTTTCATGGATCTCTGTTTGAAGAATTGTAGATACCTGGATTCTTTCAAAGAAGTGAATTAAACAACACTGTATGTTTTGTTAAAATCAATGCATTTCTTGGTGGGCGCATATCTTGCGATGACTTATTTACTGGGGACCATTGTTTGGGTTTAAAATAGTTAGGTTCCAGTTTGTTTTGGATGTTGTTTGCAATAGTTGGGGCAAAGCCACATGAAAGAAAAGTTTCCACTTCAGTTCTATTACTGAAAAAGGACCCTTGTCATGGGTCCATTATGGGTCCATTATGATACCTGAGGTCTCAGTCCAGCCGCTTTTGCATGAGAAGCCTCAGAAAGAATTTGTTGCTATTTCCGCCAGGATCTACAGAGGTCCGGAAAGACAAATAGATATGGTCAGTGACATCAGTCTTTGAACACCAGAATGTCAGACTGTCAGCCATTTCAGCATCTCAAAATCTTACCCCTTTTGTCTTCAAGAATTCAGAAATATTGACCAAAAGTGTGTTTTTTTAAAATCTGTGCAAACATAAATCTATGTTCTTTTTTTCCTTTTATGTAGATACACACTCTGTGTTTGTTCACATGTTTAGGATTATTTATAAGGGTAAACATTTACATTTTCATACTGCAAACTATGTTAACCAGTTTAAACTTCCATAGAATTTGGTTTCACAAGAAATCAAGAATTGGGTATATTGAAGAAGTTTAGTTAATGGATCTTTTTATTCTAACTCTAATGTAGGAAAAATATACAATCGACTTACCATGTATTTGCAAAATATTCAAATATATAGTGTGACTTGTGGACTAGTGGGACTCAAGAACAGCACTGCACTCCTCCCATCTCAGTCATAAGAAAACTGGGGGCTCCAGTTTCTAGTGGGGTGCAAAGTGTCTACTGTGGACAACATTTATTTGGAAGTTGCTTAATTGCAATTAGGTAAGTAAATATAACAGGTTTCTTGTGCATTATTAAAGTTAGATGGCTTTGACAATTGCTAAAGCACTTCTGGAGACAGAAGTTCTAACCCTGATTGGATTGCAAAACCAAGACTAGGATATTAGCATTGGCAGAAAATTAAAGTTGGAATTAAAAGCAGGAGCTGACATAGAAGAAATAAAAGCGAAAATAGTGCAGCATTCCAAATTGAAAGTGAAACAAATCAATTCAGTTGGATTCAACTGAATTAACAAGAATCCAGTTGTAGATGTAGCATCCCCTGAACAAAAAAAATGGTGCAACTTAAACAAGACAGACAATTAACTTCAAAGAGTAAAAAAGAATTTCAAAGAAATGAAAAAGGAAATGGAAAGAGCTTTTCACATTCAGGAAAGGAAAAGAGAAAGACAAGAAAGAGAATGATACAGGG